CTGCCTCCTCCCCGCCCCTCGCGTCTCCTCCCCGCGCCACCGGGAAGGACGAGGGGACTGGGCACGGGGACCCCGGCCAGTGAGCGCCCGTGCCCCGGGGCCGCCCTTTGCGCGCGCTCTCTCGCCTCGAGCCTGGGGCCGGTGTCGGCTCACATGGTGTTGGCCGCAGCCATGAGCCAGGACGCGGATCCCAGCGGCCCCGAGCAACCGGACAGAGATGCCCGCAGCGTGCCGGGTGCTCCGGCGCCCCCCGTGCCCCCCGCGCCCCCAGGCCCGAGAGGGATGCAGCCGCCGCCGCCGCCGCCCCCAGCCGGCCTACCGCAGATCATCCAAAAGTAAGCGGAGGGAAAGCGGAGAGGGGACCCCGGGTGGGCTTGGGGGACACGCCCCGGGCGCCCCGCTCCGTGCCTTCATCTCTCGCGTCGCTGCTGAGCTCCGCGCGGCCGCCTTGCGTTTGAAGTTTTCTTGTCCTCTCTCGGCAGAGTCGGTGTCATTCTGGCTGTTCGTGAGGTTGGGGACAGGGAAGCCAGGTTATTTGGGGAAAATAATTTTGTTTTTCTTATCCCCTTTCTCTTCAGGGACGTTACTGGATATTTTGAGCTAAAGTAGCTCAAACTGGGGGAAAATGGCCCAGAGAGTATGGTTCATCTTTCCGGTCCCGGAGGCCGCAGGAATGTATGGAGAGCCGGGTGTGAGTGGGTGCGCGCCCGTGAGGGTGTGTAAGGAAAAGACCACCACGGGCAGCCGCCCTTCATGGCGGCCCTGGAGTAGTCAGCCCGTGGCAATGGGTGGAAAGGATGGTGAGGGTTTGTAAACAGCACATTTTGCTTTGCTCGGAAAGAAGTGTCTATGCTTTTCAAGGAGGCCCTTGCGGGGAAGAGTTCTTAGCCGCGCCACCGTTGTGCGTGAATGTTACCATCTTGATTCTGGTGCTGTGCGAATCTTCCGAGCTGGCCTTCCCAACGCCTGAGTACGTCGGGATGGTCAACAGGCTCTGAGAAGGTCTTTCAGCCCATTTTGAGGGGCGTAACAGTAAAACAGGGATGTTTTGTTGGTTCTTTGGAGATTTTGTTTGATAGTTTAAGGCCTAGAATGTTGGTTTGTTTGAAGGATCTTTATTCTCCTGAAGGCTTCCCTCAGCTTGTACTGAAGTCAAAACCAGTTTAAGAAAGTGTAGGAAAGTCTGAATGATGAATGCTTGGGTGAAACTGATGGTGCTGGAGATAAGCACTAAGTACAGAAAATCAACCGTATGGAGTGGGGGGGCAGCGCTGCTGTATGGATGCTTTGAGTTACATAAACGTTTGAAAATGCGGTAAGAGGAATAACCAGTGATGGGTTGTAAGTGGAAGTAAATGGCACTTCAATACTGTTTTAAAGACTGACTTCAGAAAGAATAGTGAAAATTCAAGTTTGACATAAAAAAACGCCGGCATATTTCTGAACAAAATGGTTCCCCTTTTTTGACTAGTGGACTGCTAAAGTTTCCATTTGTGACAACTTTCTGCTTTAATTCGATTTTATCTGACTTTCAACTACTAACAAGTTGCTAACTACTTGAACATGGAAATAATTTAGATTATTTTGTTCCTATTGTTTTGCAAATTATTTAAGCTAAGATTTAACTAAATATGGACAGTTTAAGTACATCATTACTTAAAATGTATCTTTAGTTCTTGATATAAATATAAACTAACAGAGAAAAATATATTTAAAACCTAAAGTTTCTTTACTTAAAAAAAAAAACAACTAATTGACCAATTACTAATTGGAAAACATCTAACGTGCTACTGGGCCAGTGTTTTGTGGCTTGAGATTAGGCTACCCATTAAATTTATTGAGTTTGCTTTGGTACTGTAATCACCATGCATTTTCCTGTCATTTCCTTTTAATTAGGAAAAAGCTAGGAATTTTATGTTCACAGAAATATCTTTGTAGATAGGGGTCTGATTTACCCTGTTAGCCCCATTTTGAAAATTCTATCTCTGGGATATCTTACTTTAGTAGATAAGAGCTTTTCAAAGATGTCCCCTTCTGTCAGTGGCCCAGAATGGAGACTTCAAGAAGCGCCTGATGGCTCTGCCTCGTTTTGCATTGGTGACACAGATCAGTGTTCAGAGGCCAGGTTGAAGGCCGGTGAATGTGCCCATGGAATTGGATGTTTGTGCACTTATGTTTCAAAAACGTTCTTTATGAGGATGATTTGGGGTTTGGTCCCCTCAGAACCCACTGAAATTACGCTGGAACCAGGCATAACATGGCAAATGTTTTGCAGGTCCATCTTCAATGCGCTGAAACTTGAGCAGGTTATTTTGAAACTACATTTGCATAATTTAATCTGAGCAACCATTTTTAATGTAGTTATGAGGTGCTGTTTGCATCAGCCATCTTTGAGAAAACCTAGTGGGGAGATTGCCCTCAGCTGCAGAATCAATTGCCCACATTTTGATTGAGAATTTTGTGAGCTAGAGCTTTGGATAAAATTCTTCTCGGATTCTTTGGATAAAATTAATATGTGGATCACATATTAAATACATTTTATTGGGGAACCTTTGTTTATTCTAGCTATTTTAATGAGGTCATTATGTAATTCGTAAGAGAAGTTTTGAACTCTTTCAAAATGATGAAGATATCAATCTTTTTCATGTGCATAGTGTAAAAGGATTACGAGAATTGTTTTCACTTCTTAATGTCCTTGTTAATGGTTTTAATTTATATCGGCTTGCATTTTGGATAAAGTCAAGGACTATGATAATAGTCATGATCATAATAAAAGCCTGTTCCTGTTAATGTGTATCATATTTGGTCTTGGAAGAACTGCTGTATACCACATTTAAGTAGCTAAACACATGAAGTATGAGGATGAATAATGACACTGATTTTGATATTTGTTTTGTAGATGCCAGTCTCTGTACTCAGGAAAAATGCATCAAAAGTTAAACTCGGTAGGGTACTTTGTTCTACTCAGGTATACTTAATTTTCTTATTACTGTGTTCTTAGTTTCAGTAAAGAATTGCCCATGACCTTTCTGCTCATATCAACCCCTGACTCCTGGCCAATATTAGCATCACCTATAAAGATTATCAGCCATGTTTAGACATAGAACTAGTATTTTATAAGATCTTTGTTTTAAACTTGTCTTCTCTGAGTTGGCCAATGTGAAGGTCTTATTGGGTCAGATGTAAAGCATTGTGTAAACCATGTGGGCAGTACAAAATATAAAATAATATAAATAAATATAAATAACTTAAGAGGAGATTTAGAATGAGCTTAGGAAATCAGAATAATTTGATGACTTAAAATATATATATTAGCAGAAGTAAAACAACATTGACTGATGTGTTTTGGTGAATGTTTTATAAGGACTTACCTCCTTAAACATTCACAATATTTTATTTCCAAAAGTATTTTGTTTTAATTTTGTGCTTTCAAATCAAACCTAATTCTTGATTCATGAGAAGTTATTTATTAACCTTGATGAACAGCAGAAATGAAAATTTAGGTTGTAAATTTTAAAACTTTCTTCCAAATGGAAATAGAGTCAGTCAATTCTGTGTGAAATATTGAAGTCAGTTGTCAGATGCAACTATAAAGTGTCACTACTCATGGTGAAAATTAACCAAACAAGCACACACACCTTTTGTGAGGCGAACACATGGTTTTCCTAAATTATTTGACTTGCGGCAAAGTATTACTATCTATTGCATGATATCAGATTGTGCATTTGAGTATAGGTGAGTTATTTTATTTCCTTTCCAGATTATTTTGATAAGCAATGAATAAAAATCAACTATAAAAATAGAAAAGGTTTTGGTTTAGAATTGATATCGAGTGTCACCTGCACGTGTTCATGACTTAGGAGGATATAAATCCAACTTTGATTTCTTAAGGTTATAGTTTTCTGCATTGCGTAGGACTTGGGCTGACTGTTTTCAGAGCAAAGGCTCCCCTGATTCAGTATAGAAAATGTTACAAGTAGTTATTCTGCTTGCAGATAATTTTACAGACATTCTGCATTTGGAAGGAGCTCCATGTAACTCTCAGGGAATAACGTGGAGGCAAGCTGTGTAGGATGTCCAGGCACTTTGATGGGCATGCTGACAATTACATTCAGAATCGGGGAGGAAATAAGAATTTTCCAAAAACGGACATTACCTCACACTCATGCTTGGTCCTTTTCTGGAAAGAGGATGGAATTTCTAACATCTGTGCCAGTTTCTAACATCAGTTTGAGTCCATTTTTAGGGAAAACAAGGATACACTTGTAGAAGGAATTTTGAAAATTTTGAACACAATCTTAAACTGCATGTAGGACAAGCATTCAGCAGGAGAAAACATGAGAGGATTAAGTGTTTACCCAAAACAGGAAAGGAGAGAGAGTGGGTTCTTTCCTTAGCATTCTGAAAAGTTTCTTTGCTTCTCTAGAAAGGTATTTTTTTTCTTAAAAAATTTCGCCTTAAAGTTTTTGTGGTATTTTTAGATAGCAAGTATAGCCATCCAGTTATGAGTTTTTTTTCAAATTGCCAAAGAGATCAGTATTATGAAATGTAGTACATTATTCCCATTAGTCATGGTAAATGTCTATGCACATGGTGAACACAGAGCTCTTCTAATGCCAGTGCTGGGAGGGGGGGAAGGAAAAAAATTATCACCCATTTTATTCTTCTATCTACTTATTCTTTTGTTACCTCCTTAGCAGTTTGTCAGATTAATAATTTTAAAAGCCCAGATCTGTCTGTTGGAATGAATTCTGATCTGTTAAGATCTCTTTGCCTGTCCTTATAGTCACCAGGGGGAAAAAACCCCACCAGGCTTGACTCGCAGTGAAATGAGCCCACATTTTCCAGTTTCTCTCTCTTTCTCTGATTTATTTTTCTTGTGGCTGCAGGTTTCTTGATTCCAGTTAAACTAATATTTCTTCCCTGCCCATAACAGCTAATCCTTAGGTAAACAAACCAGTATAGTTCAGTTCACAGCACTGATAAACAAGAATCTAAAAAACGTTAGGAACTGGGGTCTAACTGAGGGATAGAATTAAAATGGGCTGAACTGAACACGGAAGGCAAGAATGGAAGAAGCTTGAGAAAGTGGACTTAAAACTCCAGAGAGATACTGGGAGGCAGGGCACCCCTCTTCCTTCCTCCACCCTGGTCCCCCTGCCAGACAGAAGCTTGAAGGGATCTCCTGTGTCACAAAATCCCACTTAATCTGATTTTTATTTCCTGCCACAGTAATTATCTTGTTTAGGCTGGTCTAACTGATATGATCTTGTATATTTTAATAGGGAAGGTTGCTGTGGATCCACAGCTGGTGTGAGTGACTGGTAGCTGTATTTAGAATCAGTGCGTTGAAAAGTTTTGCAGAAAGTAAAGTGACCTGTATTCCAGAATCAGGGCAAAGACGGTAATTAGTGGTTTGTACAAGGGAGCAAATGACAATTCCCTTTCTGGTTAATGAAGCTGGCTGGATCTTGCCTGATATGTGTGATAGACTGGAAGCCTACTATTGCTTGTTCTCGCCAGTGGGAAGACTGGGAAATCCTAACTTTAATTAAAAAGGCACATTTTTGAATCAGGAATGTGAATTTGGCTTCCAACACCACCTACGGGGTATTGGTGGTAGGCTGATATTTTGCCTGGCTCAATGGGTGGTCACTTTAAATTCCACCCAACTAAGGTTTCAGTCTTCAACACTTACAGGCAGCAAATTTGGGTACAAGTCAGCACTGTCCGCTGTTTGAGGAGGAGGTGGAAGGGAAGGCCACCCCCCGCCAGTATTTTGGATATAACACGTATTTCCATCTAATATGATAAAGTCTTTATAGTGGCAGAAGTTACAGCCAAGTTAATTGATCTTACTCTTTCCTACAGTTCCTGCTGGATTTTATAAATAAGTCCCCTGATGGTTTACAAGGCAACTTTTCCAACTCACTGACAGCACCTCTTTTGGGGAGATGGTACATATTCATGTGACTGTACTTTATGAGCAAAAGGGGCCGTTAAACAACTTGCATGAGGATGTGTTAATAACTTGCAGTTCAGTTTGGACAATAAATCTTTTTCCATGTGTTCAGAAACAAGAGGCTGGGGGTCATGCATGTGTTTAAGTGTGGTTGTCACCCCATGAAGACAGTCTTCATGCCACGTTTCCCTTCTTTAATGTGGGTATTTGCTTTAAGGGTGCACCAGGGCCCTTTGCTGCTGTCCTTTCTAGGCACCTGCTTTTTCCCCATCACGGTAATAACCCATCAGTTCTCAGGTGCCCCTTCCCGCCCAAACCTGGAAACCTCCACTCACAGTGGGCTGGACATCTTAAAATACTTCTCCAATTTTGCAGCTTGTCTATAGGTTGTCTCCCAAATATGTTTTTGGCTCTTACCAGATCTGCCTTTAAACCTGACCTCCAACATTATGAAGCTAAAGGAGTAGACAAGGTAATCTATACAGTATTTTAAAGAGGTTTTAATTCCGCTGAGGTACTTCCTTTAGTTTACTTTGAATTTGTTAGTGAATAAAATGATCTAGGATTTGCCTGGTGTAAAATGCACATCCTTGCTCTAAATTAATTATTGGGTCTCTGATGAAGAGGGTCAGAGCTGAAAAGAAAACCCTGGACTGGGAGCGAGTGCCCTGGACAAGCCCATTAACCTCCTTAATTCAGCCTCTCCAGGGATTGGAAATGATCAATGGCAGCCATGGGTATAGTACATGCTTGTGAGACTGCTCACACGTGAAAACAGCAATGATTATGAAAAGGAATTAAATGCTTCCTCTAACATTTGCAAAGCATATTTGGATCAGTGTTACAATTTTAAGTCAGAGGGGCGCCTGGGTGGCTCAGTCGTTCAGCGTCTGCCTTCGGCTCAGGTCATGATCCCAGGGTCCTGGGATCGAGCCCCGCATCGGGCTCCCTGCTCCTTGGGAAGCCTGCTTCTCCCTCTCCCACACCCCCTGCTTGTGTTCCTGCTCTCGCTCTCTCTCTCTCAGTCAAATAAATAAATAAAATCTTTAAAAAAACTTTTTTTAAGTCAGAAAAGCAGAAATGTCAGTGAAAAGACAAACATTTTATGCTGTTTGCTGATCACTAGAAATTTTTAAAAAGAAAAACAGTTATTTTGGAATGTTAATTACTTGGGAAGGTTGAAGTGACTACTCGAGTTTGCAAAAAGTGAATACTCGAGTTTGCAAGTAGAGTTTTCAGTGCGGGAGGCAGATGCAGTTATTTTCATTTGTCTAAGTTGGATTGTATTCAGCACAGTTTGGTGGGACTGTGTTTGGCGATGGTATTGTTTTCAGAAGCACGAACCGTAAACAGGACGTGCGAGTGGCCTTTGGGGCCCCGGCTGCGCGGGCTTGGAGTCGGCAACCCTGTGGGCAGCCTGGGCGGCAGATACTCGCCCCGACCTTGCGGCCGAAAAAACACTTTGCGGAGAGATCATGGGTGTCCAAAAGCTGAGCCTCAGGTTTCTGTGTGGCCTCCTTGAAGAGACCAACGTTGTTTGCAGACCCTCCCACGGACTGGGTCTCCTCTGCGCCCTGCGGACTCGCACTAGCAGCGTCATCCATAGACTGCCCTTATGGAGAGCCTTTATTTGGTACCTGAAAAGATATTTTTTTAACCTTCTGCACAGAAAGGGAATGAGCTGTGTGATTCAGTCTTGATTTGTAGACCTAGGGTAAATACATAATGAGGATGAACATAAGGATAGTTACTGCAGCATTGTCTAGAAGAGCAACAAATTAGAAACCATGTGAAAGTTTTCCAGTTGGGAAAATAAACTGTGTGCATGTAATTTCGTTATCTTATATTTATTAATATGGAACATAAAATAATATGGAATATAGTATTGTTAACTAAACTAAAAATGACAAACAGCATGTACACCAGGAATCTCACAATTTAAAAAAATGTATGTGGATGTGTGTGTGGGAGCCCACAATTCCGGAAAAGCACCTAAAGAACAAATATAAAGATGCTAACAGTAGTTCTAATTCTAGGTGATTCAGTTACAGGGTTTTGGGGTTTTTATTATACTTTCTACTTTTTTTTTCAGTGAGTATGTATTAATTTTATAATCAGAGAAAATAAAACTTTCTATTTTTAAAAAACAAAACTAGGAATAGACATTTCATATTGGCATTACACTATCTTTAAGACAGAACTGCCCTTTTGTGTCTTAGACTTTAGGCCTGGAAGGCATCTGAGGGCTGCTTTAGCCCAGCCTTCCTGTTTTTCTAGGGAAGGCAAGTGAGCATCAGAGAAGTCAAGTGAATTATTCAAGGTCACACAGCAAGGGTAGTGGTAGGTTGTAGGAATCCTCACCTCTCTGTCTATTGCATTTTCTGCTAGGCTTCCCTTTTGTGTGCCTGGAGTTGGGGAAGGAAGAAATAGGGAACATTCATAAACTCTCCATTTATCAACTGGCTCAAGTCTGCTCAGATCCCCCCAAAGGGACTTGAATAACATCCTTAGGTATGTTATTGCCTCCCCATTACCCCCTGCCCGTAGGTTTTTCTGTAAGTGGCAGTAGACTGGCCTCTCCAGAGCATCTCATGCCCTGTTCCATCCGGCCAAACTAGCCGGGCATCACATTTTTTTTTTGTCCTTGAACTATTTGAAAGTAAGTTGCATAACTGTAGCTCTGTTATTTGAAGGAAATTAATCTTAAATAATTTTATCTAATGAGCACTAGATTTTTAACTTTTTCCATTTGTCAGAAAAATGTCTCCCAATAGCTCTTTTTAAAACCCCCTGGCTCAGGGCGCCTGGGTGGCTCAGTTGGTTAAGCGACTGCCTTCGGCTCAGGTCATGATCCCGGAGTCCCGGGATCGAGTCCCACATCTGGCTCCCGGCTCAGCGGGGAGCCTGCTTCTCCCTCTGACCCTATCCCCTCTCATGCTGTTTCTCTCTCTCTGTCAAATAAATAAAAATAAACAAAATCTTTAAAAAAAAAAAAACAAAAACAAAAAAACCCCTGGCTCAGATTCACAAGTGCATTTGTTTATGATGCCTTTTTAAAATTAGCAACTGTACCCACCTTTTTCTGTTCTTCATGACGAAAGACTCCAGGCTAGTTGTCTTGTAGAACGAGCCATGATCTGGATATGTGTATTATTTCCTCATGACGAGATTTAGGTTAAGCGTTTTGGCCAGGATCTGCAATGGGTGCTGTGTGTCCCTTAAGTTTGATCTGTTGGTTAATGAGGTCACCTCCAGACCTCCCCATTGTAACGGGACATTTTTCTCTTTGTGATTAGAGAATACTCACAGTATGAGTAATGAGATACTGTGAAACGCTCTGAATATACTGTTTCCCAACAAACTTTCACCTCATGGATTTATCTTTTTTAAAAAATATATTTTATTTATCTTTTTAAGTAAGCTCTACGTCCAACGTGGGCTTGAACTCATGACCCCAAGATCAAGAATCACGTGCTCTACAGACTGAGCCAGTCCAGTGCCCCTCATGGTTTTATTTTTTAATTTGACCATATTTTTAAAAAGTCCCTTCAATGAAATGTGGAACTGAAATGATAAATTAATATTACTTTAGAATGGATTAGTTCGGATATATAGTTTAAATCAGTTGGCCTTGCAAATACGTGTGCATTTTACCAGCCCCTGGATATTATTGGAGACTCTGGATTTTTCTAATCCTGACTTGCTAGGAACCTAACTGGTGGGCCAGCCACTTCCCACTTAACCTCTGCGGCAGGCATTTTGTCACGGGCTGCAGTACTATTTAATGTCCATACAGAGGGAATACAAATCCCTTTTCGTGCCAATGGCATGAATGGGTGCTAATGTAATTTTTGCTAGCTCACACAACGTTTTAGGCATCCTCTTGAAGCTAAGTCAACTCTTTGCAGAAACCTTTTATCTTCCTTTTCAAAATCACTCTATGAAGCGGACTTTAAAAATGACTGATGACTTGCCCTGGAACCTAAACTGCGAGAGTCCTGGAGCTGGTCTGTGACTACTGGTTTGTTCATGCTTTTCAGATTTAAATTACATAGCTATTTTTGCCTCTTCCAGATTGGTACTCTTATTTTCATGCACAAAATATGTATGGGTGGGGAGAGTGGTGTGGAGTAGTGAAAAGAAACAAGAGCAAGCCTTCTCTATGTTCTAGAGTCAGCTTTGCCACCACTAACTAACACTGAGCTTCAGTGTTCTCATCTGTAAAAGGGAACAATAGAAAGTAACAACTAACATTCGTTGGGTGCTTCCTGGGTGCCATCTACTATTCTAAGCACCTTTTATATGCTAAATCCATTTAATCATTTCATCGGTCTATAATCCTGTGAGGAAAGTACTGTTATTCTCCTCATTTTACAAGTGAGGAAATCAAGTCAGAAACTTACCGGGACTCAACAAAACTACGAAAAATAATATTTACGAAACAACTGGTGGTATGAGGCTGGGTGAGAGAATGTTCTGTAAATTAAGATCATATCCTCCCTATGTAAACATCTGTGTCCTCAAAATAATTTCTAGAAAACCCATCAGTGGGGCGCCTGGGTGGCTCAGTCGTTCAGCGTCTGCCTTCGGCTCAGGTCATGATCCCAGCGTCCTGGGATCGAGCCCTGCATCGGGCTCCCTGCTCGGCGGGAAGCCTGCTTCTCCCTCTCCCACTCCCCCTGCTTGTGTTCCCTCTCTCGCTGTGTCTCTCTCTGTCAAATAAATAAATAAAATCTTAAAAAAAAAAAAAGAAAACCCATCATTTACAAAGAAAATATTATAGAAAAAATTGCTGAAATAAATCTGAAGTAGGTCAAATTGAGTTTGAGTTAAACTAAACATTCCAGTCAGAAACATTCTTTCTTGTTTCTTTTTCCTTTTTTTCTTGTAGCTTTAAGTGTGCCTTTTGGTTTAAAGTGAAATCCATATCCCAATTTAAATTCCATTAGCAAATCGGGCTCTGGCATTTGATTTGCTGTCTTACTCTGCTTGTTATGCATGTTAAGCCAGACCTGAATTTGATGCTCACAGAGAGTATATAAACACTTATAATCCTGGGCGCCTGGGTGGCTCAGTTGGTTAAGCGACTGCCTTCAGCTCAGGTCATGATCCTGGAGTCCCGGGATCGAGTCCCGCATCGGGCTCCCTGCTCGGCAGGGAGTCTGCTTCTCCCTCTGACCTTCCTCCTTCTCATGCTCTCTGTCTCTCATTCTCTCTGTCTCAAATAAATAAATAAAATCTTAAAAAAAAAAAACAAAAACAAAACAAAAAAAACCAAAACACTTATAATCCTCTCAGCATGTGCTAAAATCATAACAGGTACGATAGTTTGATTTACAAAGAGAGCGTCTGCCAAGTTCTACCACACCATTTTTAAACCAATTCAAAAAACCGGGATTCAGCAATGATTAAAGTATCCTAGGTTCCTATAAATAGCAAGAAGAATTCCTGACTTGAAACGTGGCAACATCA